TCACCGCGGACTACATCCTCCGTGCGTCCTGCGGTGTAGCGCTCTCCCTTGGCAGAGGGATGGCTTCAACCGTGGTGGCACAGAGACATTTGTGGTTGACACTCTCTGATGTCCCCGACAGAGACCGGGCCACATACCTGGATGAACCAGTTATGGCGGCTGGTTTATTTGGTCAGTCTCTCGACGTTATACAGGCAAAGTTCGAGCTGAGGAAGAAGCAGGCAGAAGCTCTGCGCTGCATTATCCCCAGACGGGACTCGAGACCCAAGACCAGCACACAGAAGCCGGYCGCACAGCCGCCTCCGGCGAAGAGAACGGTGCTGCCCGGGAGCCTAGGCACCCAGCCACCGCAGCCTCATCACCACGGCCAACCCCCCCGCCAGTCGGCTTGGAGCAAGCCCCCCCTCCGGGTCTTCAGAAAGGCGCGACGCCTCGGAGGAAGAAGACGCAGTCCTCCTAACTGTGGGACCGTCACAGCAGGGACTTCGGGACCAGGGAGACATGTTCGCCAGTTTTCGGCTGCCGCCCAAGAGGCATTTTGTTTGTACTGTTCAGGAAACCAGCCCCAAGAGGTGCTGCGTTTCTGTAACACAGTCTCCCAAGCACCAGTCCCACCCCACACACACACTGTTTATACCAAAAGCCCCCAGTTTGGGTGCGCTAAATGTTCAGGATGTAAATGTACAAAATGGTTGTGTAAACTTGTTGAATGTGTCAATAAAGGAAACACTTCAAAAACAAAAAATCAAAAAAATCAGAAAAGTTGTGAGCGACAGTCATATAATGCTGCGCCTCTCTCATGMGACAGAGGGCAGCAGGACTTCGATAACACAAGTCGGTCGCCTAACGACGCCACTCTCTCTCTGGCGCGCATGCGCACCATCCCCTTGGGTAGAGAGAACTGTCGCAATGGGTTACCGACTACAGTTCCGCATACGACTGCCCCGTTTCAATGCCGTGTTAAACACTGTTGTGGGAAACAAAGCAGCCGTGGTTTTGAGAGAGGAAATAAACACACTACTGGTGAAAGGAGCCATACGTGTGGCCCCTCGTCGGACATAAAAAAAGGTTGGTACAGCCGTTATTTTGTCGTTCCGAAAAAAGACGGCGGCCTCCGTCCGATTTTAGACCTGAGAGTTCTGAAYAAGTTTCTACGAACAAACAGGTTTAAAATGCTAACACTCAGGCAGCTTCTGCATTCGATCAGCCCGGGCAACTGTTTTGCGACCGTCGATTTAACAGACGCTTACTTTCATGTAGCAATTCACCCGGACCATWGGAAATTTCTGAGGTTTGCGTTCGAAGGCGTGGCATACGAATACCTGGTGTTACCATTGGGTCTGTCCCTGGCGCCCCGCACATTTTCAAAATGTGTCGAAACAGCACTATTTCCTCTCAGGGAGAAAGGAATTCGCCTGTTAGCATATCTAGATGACTGGGCTCTGATAGCCAGCTCCAAGGAGCAGGCTACAGAGCATCTGTCTCAGGTTCTGTCGCACATTCAGGCTCTGCGCTTTTCTGTAAATTTTCAGAAAAGCTTATTGACTCCGAGCCAACAGTTTTCTTTCCTCGGGTTAGAAATATGCTCCCTGTCGGGCAGAGCGCGTCTCTCAGAAAACAGAGTAGCTGCATTTCACCGCTGCCTCGCTCAGTTTCAACTGGGATGCAAACTGCGTTTTCAGACCATTCTGCGACTGTTAGGCATGATGGCCTCGATGATTGCGGTAGTACCACTCGGGCTGCTAAAAATGCGCCGGTTTCAGCGTTGGTCCCACTCTCACCGGCTGTGTGCATTACGTCACCGCCACAGAAAGCTAACGATAACTGCCTCATGCATGAAGGCTCTCAGTCCTKGGAGGGAACCCGGCCTGCTATGCCGAGGTTCACAGATAGGGAGAGTGTCCTTTCGCAAAGTGGTATCCACGGACGCCTCCCTGGTGGGGTGGGGGGCTCTGTGCGATGGTGCGGCAGTGAGGGGGGTTTGGACTCTGAAGCAGTCCAGACTCCACATAAACTGCCTRGAATTGTTAGCGRTTCTGTTAGCACTGAAACACTTTTGTCCAGTTYTGCAGAACCAACATGTTCTGATCAGAACAGACAACAAGACTGTAGTGTCATATATAAACAGACAGGGGAGAACATGGTCTCTTCCCCTGTTGGAATTGTCTCACACTCTCTTGCAGTGGTGCAGCATGCATTTCCTGTCTATCAGGGCCACTCACGTTCCTGGGAGACTGAATCTGGGCCCAGATCTACTCTCCAGGGGCGGACCTATGGTGAGGGAGTGGAGGCTGCATCCCTCAGTGGTAGACCAGATTTGGACCATGTTTGGCAGGGCAGCAG